ATGGTAGTCAATTATTTTTACATATGGTTCATAATAAAGCATCAAAAGAATTTTTTTATTAATACAACAATTCAATATTTCATTAAACATCGTTTTGATGGACTTGATCTTGATTGGGCATGTTTTTATTGTTCCTTCCTTGTTTCTATTTAATAAAGAAGTATCCTGGTTCACGACAAGGTTCAAGATAAACGGATAAAAAATATTTTATTGATTTATTATTAGAACTTAAATTAGCATTTGAACCACATAATTTATTATTAATAGCTACTGTTACTAATGGAAAATCAACTATTGATGCTGTTTATCGTATTAAACAAGTTTGTCAAATTCTTAATTTTATTAATTTAATGTCTAATAATTTATATTGGTAAATTCCTTTTCGTTTTTAATTATTTATATTTTATTTTTTAATTCTTTTATTGTGGAACTCACATATGTTTTCGAAGAAAATAACGAGTGCACGTTTTAAGTCGAATTTTTAGCGACTCCTCTCCCCCTCCCCATTACAGACCTAAATAACGAAGGTAAAATATTCAATAAATCTTTTTATTTTACAAAATCGATCACATTATAAGTTTGAAAATACTAAAAAAATTCTTTCTTCAAAATGTAGAATTTAGAGGGATTCTTACTGTAGTCACCGATTATTCTGCGAAAAACTGGTCTATAAGACATATTTTATATTAATTTAATGAGATTCGAGGGCATATGCGAGTTTCACATTTCAGTCCCATAGGACTGCGCTAACAAGTTTTTGTTCTGTTTTAAAGTTCATAGAAATCTAAAACAAGTATTCATGCTCTATTGTATATTCATAAAAATGATGATGTATTAAATAAACAATTAACACAAGATTGACCTGCTAAATATTGGATAAACAATGGTTGTACATCATGAAAAATTCTTCTTGATTTACCACTTGATGCCCAAACATTTTGTTTAACTATTCTATATGAGAATGCAATTCGATCATTAACTATTGGACCAGATTCAATTAGATAAATTTTTATTTTTTGTTCTGTTATTGAAAATTTAAATGAGATAAATTTTTTAATAAAAATGAATGCTTGTTTATATGCAAATAAAGAAGGATTTTTATCTTATTATGAAATTTGTACATTTTTAAACAATGAAAAATAGAGGGTGTGAGTGTGGCCATGAATAATCTAATAATCATAGCCGCATCCACACTGATGTCTACAACAACATACAGCACCGATACATCCACACCCACACAACTTACACGAACAACCACATACACACCCTCTAGTGAATATAAAATAAATGATATATTTATTGTCAAAATGATTAAGAGAAAAATATCATCATTGTCAAAAATTTTCAAACGATCCAATGAGTTCTATCGTCAATATAATACCTCGATTGAGCTAAAGTCCTTACATACCAATTTCAATTTTAATGAGTGAGTTGAAGAAAAATTTTACTTACGAAAGGCCATTATTTTAGTGTCTATTGTACTTGAGAGGAGCAATTTTTTTCATTTCTCTTCTGTTTCTTTTTCTTTGACAAGAGAACAAACATAATTGTCGTTTGATTTTATTGCTTCTTTTATTTATACAACTCGTGCTTTCTCATAGCAAGTCTCATTTACGAGTGAAAAAAAAAACAAAGATTTCATCCAATGTCGAGTAAGAAATTTATATGTAGAAATAGATAAATCTATTCGAGTCCCTCATCTTCTATTGTAGGAATGAACCATTTATTTTAACTTAAAATTAAGTTCATAATGGTTACTAAGTGTTTAGAGTTTAAGATATGCTACCTAACATTTAATTGACATTAAATTTAATTTAGATTATTGTGTCAGGCAAATACTATAGAAATTTTAGTTTTTCTTACTCGATTACAGCATTATCATGGCGATGTCCAATCTATTTTCGAGAAAACCTGTTAGCCGCTTGATCACCATGGATAATACGATGCTGAATTCTTATTGAAGTAGAGAAAAACTCGAAACTAAATGATATTTGTCGAACACAATCATTTAAATTGAAGTTTAAGCGTATGAAGTTGTAAGTAAAAAAAACTTAGATTTAACATGAACTATTGAATAGTTTCTTAATATTTAATATGAAGAAAGGAATCGATTGACAGTAATCTTTTTCTTTTATTTTTATTAACATTAACTGTTAAGTAAAGTGAATTGATACTTGATTTAATGATATCTTCCTCTATTGATCAGTATTGATGAAGAATTAAAGCATATACTGAAATTGATTAGCGCCTATGCAAAAGGCTCTTCTTTATCTCTCGAAGAAGTATGCTGACCTTTAGAAAAATATTTTTTACAAAGAATTCAAATAAAATATAATAATTACTAAAATAAACTCGAGAAAATCTGAGAAGATAGACTGATTAAAGATGAATTAACATCGATTCATTTGTTCACAATATAGAAAAGAATTTACGGAAGAAATGTTTCTATACGATTCTGAATCAAACCTTTCGTCTGATTTATCTGAAGAAAACTTTGTTCACGATTCAAATATATATGGTTGCTTTTCACAATTTTATTTAAACTATCGTGAACAACGGATATTGTTTATATTTTTGAAATGATGTTATTACATGTTCAGTCAATTTACTATCAACAAATAGTTTGATGTAGACTTTCAGATGATCGCAGCTTTTTTCTTTCAATCGAAGAAAAGACTAAACGTGATAAGTGTTGACTTCTATGTAGATCTTCAATAAATATTTTCTAATCTTCATCTTAATTACATGGATCGGATATATGAATGTTAGTCTCCATCAACAGAAAAAATATAAAATTCATTCGCGCATAATCATATTTTAAAGACAAAAAACAAAATCTTTCTTTCTCACGTCTCTACTCTCAAAATCATTTATCAATCGGACTCAGTTGATGATTTTCATAGATTCGATCTTCGCTAGATAATTCTTCGAAGAAAATGTTTTCTCACAAAAAAAAACTGATCCATCGATGATATTTCTTCGACAACGATAAAAAAAACGTAAGTCGATCATTGAATATGAAAAGCTTATCTCTTAACAAAGCATAAATGTGAAGAATCATCAACTGTTGTCATTGTTTTCATAGTCTCTTCGAAATTTCTTCTGTTTTGATGAGTAAAAATGACGAGATGTTTTTGAAATTAAAAACCATTCTTTATATGATCTAACACATCGAATTCAAGATGTGGATGTGGCTGTGATTTTTCAGTTCATACTAACATCTACACACCCACACTCTAACATTGAAAAAATGGAAAATAATGTCAACATTTCATATTGACTGCTTCATCGTTATGATAGAACTGTTGTAAAACTGTAGATTAAATTTACGAATATTTTTCAATGAAAAACAAAACTTCTATTTTTTAATTTATATATCTTGAAGAGCACGTCTTATAGATCTATTTTTAAATTCAAAATATTAATCATGTGAATGTAGATTTAGAACTATTCTTTCCATTAAAGATTAGTGTGTGCTTTTAGATGTTTCATTGAACCAGAACCCATGTATCACTCCAGTGAGATAGCTAAATTTCAAATTCACATCTACATCCTAAGGTTTCTGTTGATTCTACAAAGACTTTCAAATGAATTCATATGAATTTCTTCCTATATAAATTCTAGAATAGAATCACCATTGATACAACTTGAATCAGTATTGAGTTTTGGCCACGGTTTACATTTTTTTTGTTTCGATACAAAACAAATCTATTTAATTTTACCACTTTTTATACCAAACAATTATAAATTTCCGTAGAACTTGAAATTTTCTATCATTCTTTCTATAAATATATACACATTTTTATTATGTCTTTCTATTGATGCGCTGAAACAAATCAATAGAAGACAATTGATAAACATCAGAGATAAAGGAAAATTCTAAGCGTTATAAAAATATGTAATCGTTTCAAAAAAATATTTCTAGAATGATGAAGTTCTTAAAAGAAAACTTATTCTGATGGTAAACAGAGAATTACGTATGTGAAAATCTATTGATGAAAATGTTTTCAATATATTCGATTTATTCTCTCGTACGTAAATGCAGAATAAAACAAAAATGAATGTTAACAAAAACTATCCGAACACTTATAAATTATTTCATTATTTTGTGTGGCAATGATCATACTTTGATGACGATATATTTGAAATCATAGCCACAATTATTTTTATTTCGGATATATGTGAAATTAACAAAAATATAGGAATAGAAATTATAATATTTTTTGCATTATCCACTTGTTTTAACGAAAAAATATGCTTAAACTATTTTCGAACAAAGAACTCGTAAATTTTTTCTGTTTTTCCTTGGATAAATAAAAAAAAACAAGAAATTCAGAGAAAAAAAAACGTGGAAGACATTGTTTTTAACTTTTCACTTATTCATTCATTCAAATTTTCGCCAGGATTGTCACAAAACTCATGGTCAAATTAGATGATCCTTGATAAAAATATGCAAGAAAGTTTGCATGTATTTTTGGGTTTCAAAATGAAGAAAATAAATATCTTATTTGAATAATTGTCATCATTTTTAAATTGTTTTCGACTTTAGTCTCAAACGAGTGGAATCTTCATAGGCTTTTTGTCATTTTCAATTTGTAAACAGTTTTCATTTGTTATGAATATCGTCATTCTTCATAGAAAAATCTCTATACTATGTTCAAATATATTTTCATTGATTCTTTTTCATGAAATCTTGTTCATTCTTAAATAGTACTTATACAAGATTCGCGATAATCTGATTCGATCAAAATGCTTGTAATCTTTGAACCATAAACATAGGAATCAGTTAAAAATTGTCACACTCTTGTTTCTATACTTTTTTAACCTTGATAAAGTCATATTTGAGACAATTGAATAAGATTCAAGTCGAATCATAAGAGAAAAATAATGATTAAATTATGATTTTATTTCTTTATATATATATATTTACACGAATTCATTTCAGATTAAGATATTCAAATTTTAAATTATATAAATCAAATTATATTCCTCTAAGACAAATGGAAGAAGTAGATGAATTAAACCTATGTTCAATTTGCAATAAAGTTTTAGCAAGTCGTTTTTGTATTGGATGTAAAAAGTATTTTTGCTTGAAGGATTTCAAACAACATGAACAACAACTATTGATAAAATTTAACAATGAAATAGTGAGATCACATGATGAAATTCTTGATCAAATAAAAAAGTTAGAAAAACCAAATTATTTATCATTGGATCTTTTCGCTCAAATTGAACGATGGAAAAAAACAACCATTAGCAAAGTTGAAAAAGCAGCAGAAAAAGCTCATCATGAACTTACCGAACTGATTGGTAAAAAACAAATTTCAATAGCGAAGGAATTTGAACCAATTACAAAAGAAATTCGTTTTCTTCGAGAGCAAGGAAATTTTGTTGAAACTAATGTTGATCGACTTAAACAAAAAATTAATCAAGTTAAACAAAAACTTGAACAACTTCTTCCAAAAGATACAAATAAAGCTATCATTGTTGATAATAATTATATTAATTGGAATCAACTTATTTATATTCGAGAAGAACGAGAAAATTGTAAGTATTTTGAGTTCAAATTGTAGAGAAAACATTCGTGAACGAATCCATCAAATATTGTATACCATTCCTTCCTACTTTTTCATAATAAAATATATTCCATTGTTTAAAATTTCAGTTCAAATTTCCATAGAAAACTTTTCTAGAAAATAATATAAAATAATCTTTTGAATGTAACAAACATGGTTGGCTAAATCGACATTTCTGTAATAAAAATACGAAAATTTTTTATGTCGTCTCGGCAAAAAATTCGAAAGTCAATTATTTGACATTTAATTACATATATCGTCCTTTACTATTAAAATATGTGATATTCTCTCAGAACTTTGTGCAAAATTTATTTTTGATGTAGATTTTTCTCTTCTTCAACTTCACTTTTATTCATATTCAAATACTCAGATTCAATATTCAAGAATGAATCTAATTCAGTTTAGTACATGAAAATTGCATGAAAAAGTAATTAGTCAAACATCAGATTTCATTTTTATAGTTCCATAGTACTATAAATACTCAGAACTTCGTCTCCAAATAGTGAAAATGATAGAAAACGATTTATGCTCCAGCTTCTACAAAGCTCTTTGGAGCTGGTGATTTAGTAATAGTAGATCGAATAATTGATATTACTCTATAGAACTTTTTATTGTTCATTTTTTAACAATGTTTACGCCTGTAATTAGAAAAAAAAAGATTTTTTCGAAAGATAGAACAAAAGCAGAAAAAAGAATTTTACGAAAGTTATGACTCTTCATCAGTCAGAGAATGTTTTCTTTTCTTGATAAAGAAGCATTCATTTTAATAAAGATGTGTTTTACACTTCGGAAAGGGTGAAAATGTAAACGATCGTTCGCCATTATTAGTCTTAAAGCTCAACACTATATCATTATTTCAAAAGAATACCTATGGTGCATAAATTACTGTTAACATTTAAAATAGAGGTTGTGTTCAACTTTACAAAACCATGAATATTAAAAAAATATCATGATTCGGAAAAAACTTAAAATTTGGAAGTATTCGAAAAGCGTCAGGAAAATGTCGAAATTTGGAATTGAAGCTACAGGATTCTTACAATGCATATCAGAGTTCATATTTTTTTCTCTCCCTCTACTAGATCTGTGACAGGTCACAGCTTTATAACCCGGTTCTTTTTCAAGAACTGGGACCAATGTTGAATTCTATTTTTGAGAACTGGTTGTATGATGTAGAGTGTGAGTGTGATCTTAGGTGTCAGTCTTCATTTCATCCAGATTCAGACCAGTAGTTAAAATAAAACATTCTAATCAATCTTGGTTTCGTCCTGTAAGATTTTGTTTTATTTCTCTTTCGTTGATATAATATTTTATTTGCTATTTAGTAATTCCATATGAAATTGAAGTAACAACTTCAGATGAACAAAATTCTGGAACGACACAATATGGATGGATCATTATTGAAGGAACAGAGAATAGATCAGAGAAATTCTATATGAGAAATACACCGCGTAACAATATCTTACAAGAGTATAGAATCAATCAAATATTATGTAAGAATAACTTATTAGACAAGTCTCAAACTGATAAGTCGATTATGAGTCGAGACTACGTACATTGTATAGATCGAAATCTGGTATGTATATCTTCAAAGGATCTGATGGTCTTGGATTATTGCTAAGACGATGCTGTACTTGTTGAACAAATATCATGGTAAGTTCTGAGAAAATTTCAACTCAAAGAAAACATATTCTTCTTGAGATATTGAATATCCAACGAACCATTTCGTATGAAAATTGATAGCAAAAGTGGAACTTCGCGGCAAAAGAGCTCCTGAGATTTGAGTTTTTCATCTGCAACGTATATAAAAACAAATGATATATTGTGCGTATTTTGATAGATAAGATTATGTAGCACTATTTTTTTAGCAACATGTACAACTTATTAGTGACTTTCCTAGGGTATGAATGTGCTTCCAGCCCTATTAAAACCAAACGCACACCCACAGTCACATTTGAGTGAAAACTACAGCTGTAAACTTAAGAAGTGAAAAGCTCCTATATGAATAAATGGTCGAATACCTACAACATATGATTGGTAATTTTTATAGACACAAAAAACAATAGTAATGCACGAGAACTAGAGCCTTATTTAATCTGTAATCGTTTTTTCAAATGAAGTTTATACATATTGTAATTGTTACGATGATAATCTTGTGAAGCTCGAATGTCGAAACTCATCGGTACTAGACTCAAATGTCATGTCACCGTATAAAATAAGATAAGCTATAGAATCGAATGATTTGAGACATTAAATATCTTCAGAAACATAAGTAAGTTTAAGCTAAAATTGTAAGTATATTCTAGTGATCGCATGACTTATCTATGGACTAAATTTTAAATGAAAATCTCCTATTTGATTATTCCATAAGTAGATGGTCCAGAGGTAGAGTCGTACGAAACAAACATTTTTCGGATTTCACATTCAGTTTGTCTCGTACCGAGAGTTTACGAGTAGCCAGAGTTGTTTATCTATATTCAAAATATCCTGTAAGGCTGTGTCTAAAGACTGATTGCTTACTAAAGCGGTCATAACTCTAGATAGGTAATCCATGGGTATGAACTAATTAAAGATTTTCGAATATGGTCACTATGCTATGTGAAATTCTGCCCTTATAATAACATAATTTTTAAATAGTGACTAAGAAAATTTTTTGAACATTATCTTTTATTAAAATAAAATCTCTAGTGGACAGACAAATACATTTACATTCAACTGTCGGCCACTTGGTGAATTACGTCGTATTATTTTAGGTCATGAAGAACGACGTGAATATTCACTTAGAACATATAAAGAACGTGAAGCTAAATGGCACGTTTCACACATTACCATAACCGACCCTTCAACAAGCACTATGTAAGAATTCTATTATTCAGAAAATCTTATTTTCTATTTTTTTAAAATTTTTTCTAGATATAAATTTCCTATAAAACGATGGATTCACATCAATAATAAAGGCGATGTATTCAATTATACTGATGAACAAGAAAATGCTGTGGAACAAGAATATATTCGACAAGCAATTAAGTATAAAATTATTGTTCATACTGGTGATGTCTTTAGTGCTAGTACAGATGCTAATGTATCAATTATTCTCTATGGTACTCTTGGTCATACGGGTATTCGACGATTGAAAAAAAAAGATCAAAAGTTATTTAGACGCGGTCAAATTGATGAATTTATTATCACATGCTTAGATTTAGGTATGATCAATCATTTTTGATTCATTTCGACAATAAAAATTTTCATTCAAAATAGGTCAGTTGAATAAATTACATATCGAACATGATGATACTTCTTTTACACCTGATTGGTTTCTTGCTAAAGTTGAGGTTGTTAATATGGAAACAAATGAAACAGTTGTATTTCCATGTAATCGATGGCTTGGAAAAAAACATGATGATCATCAAATTCATCGAGATTTAGTACCTATGGATGATTCATAAATAAGTGATATTTTATTATCTTTTGAAAACTTATCTTGAACATAGGGTGAACATGACCAAAAACAATCGTTTACTTTTTTCCACAATAAAAATGTGAAAAAATACGATACATAGAAGTTGTGTTTGTATGTATTTCTTTCAACTTTCTGCTTGATGGTATATATATCTTTGATCCTTTTTTTGTGGTTTTGGTGCTTTTAATTTAATACACAATAATTTTGTTTGCTGCAGAAAAAAAA